CTTAAAAAATCCTTTGTGTAAAGTACATAAAAAAAAAAAAAAAACTGTACTAGGATAATGGGGACTGGTGCAGCCACCGTTATAGGTCATTTAATGTATATCCGTAGACAACGATAAATCATTGGGAATAAAAAAAAACGATTCTGTACAAGATTCAGTCGATATTGACAACAATATATGTGTTATATTATTGTAAATAAATTAAATATACATAATATATTTTCTTAAATAATACTTGTTTAATATTGCACCGATTTTCCCTACGTTTTTTTTTACGGTCTTTCACATTATTTCTGCAAAAACTATTGTAAAAATCAAAAAATACTTCTGGAATAACCTTCAGATTGATTTTAAAAAAGTTGCTACATTTAAAAATCAGAGTAAATTTTTTTGAAGAAAAGTTAAGCACGGGTAAAAAAAAAAATTAACATATTTGTAAAACTTTAAGCTTCTTCGTTCCACTCAAAATATAAAACAAAATCATGTTTTAAAAAAAGTATGTTAAATTCCAAAAATATACCTGTAATGAGAAATAAGATTTTTTTAGAATTTAAGATATACGATATTTTTTAATATTTAAAATGCTGTGTAGAATATTCGCAGGAAGTGTTCACGAATTTTATACACTTGATTGTAGGTAACTAATACGAGTATTTTAATGTGCATAAAATTTAACAAAATTTACTTTAATTAGGTAATTCCTCGAATTTCTCATCAAATGCGAAAAACCGAAAAAAAAAACCGGAACAATTTACGAAACATAATAAATATAATCATACAATTTATTTTTTTTACAGATATAATAAATATCTACCCAATGCACGTCATCCACACTATCCACTTAACAATTATTTGAGAGAAATCTATTTATTCTATCAATTTATTCAAATCTATTTGAATGTATGAATTTGATATTTGGTCAAACCTGAAAACGATAATTAATTTTCCAACACTTACTTTAAGAAATGTGCATATTTTCAACAACAAGAAGTTAAAAACTACAAATTATGAGTAGTATAATATCAAAAATTATTATCTATATATATATATAGAAAATATATTAATTTAAAAATATATATATATATTTGTGCCAAACAAATAAATATAAAAAAATAACTAAACATTCCTAAAGTAAGTCCCATACCTATTATATAGATTTTAACATTTTGCGATTTAATACAATCGTCATAAATTAGATAATAAAACAACAAAAGTGAAAACAATGATATTATTTTAAATTAAATATAAATCGATTTTTATTTTCTATTAAATAAGAAAAAATATGTCGGTAAAATGTTAAAAATATTTGAGCGATTTTTGAACTATTTGTAGGCATCTTAATTATGTAAGTTTTTTAGATAAATTTTATTCAAAATACAACTGTGAATAAAATTGGTAGACCGGCAAGAAATGCTTGAAAACAGGAGGTATTTATTATAAAAGTTGTACATAGTAGTCAACAAGAAAAATCTGAGTAAATATGAATTTTTTTAATTTTTTTTTTTTTAAGAATTTTACTGTCAAATTCTTTATGATGAAAATCGATATGTCTATTAAAACATGTATAACCGAACTTCGCTAAAAATCATTATTTGTTAGCAAATATTATCAGTTGCGTACGGATCTACATTATATTACCCTTTTTACCAACTTTACCAACTTCTCACATATAAGAGTGTCCCGGCCATAGAATATTTAATTTCTGCAACTTTTGTTTAAATAGTAGGTAGGTATGTACGTCTTAATGTCAGTAACCCATAAATTATATTAAAATATATACTGTATTTTTGAGTTAAATAAAGAATATTCATCATATATTCTTATTTTTTTTCTTTTTTAAATTTTCTAGGGGTTTTCATAATAAATTTGAAAAACTGGGAAATATTGAAACAATATTAGAAATTAATATTTTTAAAATCAAAATTTTTTTTTTGTTTTGTAATGTGAGAAAGTTCGTTATAAGTTGTACTTAGTGGCCAACAAGATAAATTTTTGTTAAATTTAACATATATTTTTTATTTGTAAGAATTTAAATAGCAAATTTTTGATAAAATTGTAAATATAGGAACTTATGAACAAGTTTCGTTGACAAAGATTAATCATTGCGCACAGGTATTGATAAAATTCCCCTTTGTATATAGACTTTCGGCTTCATGAGTGGCCTACCCATCGTGTGAAGTATGTGCGTCTCTTTTGCTATTATTTTAGATTCTGAGCGGAGCGACAAATGTATCGGTTTTAAAAAGATGCATATTCTTTTTGATTTTATGTGAACATCTTTACTACCAGATAGATACCTCCGATTATCACTTATAGTACCTTTTCTGTAGAAAATGTTCTCTGGGCGCGGCACCATAAAGAAGACGTTTTTTGAAATTCTCCCTAATATTCAAAACAATGAGGAAATCCCGGTTCTTTAGGTTAAAAAAGACTAAAATAATAAAAACTGGTTGTCATTGGCATCCGTTTATATTTATATTTTATTATTTTAAACTTTTTTAAACAGCCGTTGTTATTATGAAAACGCATATTGTTGTATAATTTAAATATAGTGTAAATTAATTTTAATATAATTTAGTATTATATATAATTTACATATAATTTTAATATGGTGGACATATTATATATTGTTAAGAAGCATCACAATCAATTAAACTCCGGTCAGAATCGTATTTTGTTAGCAATGATTCATCGCTGCTTACATATATACATAAAATTCCCATCCGTATCCTACCTTCCAAAACTTTCACCTTCAACAGTAATTGCACCCAATAGCGAATTATGTCGGACTTTTTCAATTAAATTATTATAATCCATTTGTATTATAATCTGTTATATCATTTGATCATTTAATCATAATAATAAATATTTAGACAACCTTAAACGTAGTTATATTATCAAAAATAATTATTATTATCTCAATAATAATAATTATCATCGAATATCTTTATCAACATTTTATTCATCTTTATATGAATGGGAATAATCATCAATAAAAATAATCAGAATATTTTAATGATATTTTAATAATACAATAAAATTGGTATTATTGTAATTAATATTATGAATATAATGCTCATTATTATTACAATTAATGGATTATTGGTGATTATTATTATTAAAATGTTTATAATCATTTACTGTGATTATTTTATGAGTACGCATTATTATTATTATTGTTCTTATCTTATTATGATTATTATTGCTAGTTGTTGGAAGAATAGTTATCCACAGCAAAAAGATACCGTAAAAATTTTAATACATTTCGTATATTTTTCAGTTTTTTTTTCCGGTTTTTCAATTTATTGAGAAAACTTCTAGGAAAGTAAAAAACAGGCCTGCTTTTAGAAATATCGGACTAGGAATACTAATTTAACTAATAATATTTATATTATACCGTTATTAATAAATACTCTTCTCCACACTCTTAAAATGATCAGTAACCACTCGATGAAAAAATATAAATGACAATTTTATTATTGGGCAATTTGATGATAATATGAAAACATAAGATAAAATCTACATAGGTCGACAAAGAGAGTTATTAGTTTCGGTATTTAAGCTCACTACTCTAATTCATTATGTATTTGCAAAATAACTTGAAATATTATGATTTGTTGTAGCAGAATTTTTTTTTAACGTATTCGTTTTGTAATTTTTTATTTTATTTTTCAATAATTCTGTTCCAGTAAATTTTTAAAAAGGACATTTAAAATATCAAACACATAACACGCATGAATCGAACTTCATTATGCATCGATTTTTGTTAACAATATTTTATCGTTGGTTAAAGCTGTTACAGATAAAAATTAAAGAACTATGTGTCCCACCTTTCCAAAAAACCCACATACAATAGTGGTCGCAGAAATACTCATTCCTCAGTATCAGTTCTTTTTTTTTTTCTATCTACATAGGTATTTGAAGTTTTTTGTAATTTTTTTTATATTATATTGTAATATTCGGCTATAAATTATCATGATGTATTATTGACACATGTAGAAACCCAGAAAATAATCGTAAATAACGTAAGGTTATAGATTATAAATAATCTGACGGTATTATGGCAAATAAAAATCACAAAATCAACACTGATAACACCGGATTTTTACGGTCGGTAAAAATACGGTATGAAAGTTGTTAAATTCGGAAACAATCAGTTCAGGGACTACACAGTCGGAGAAAAATGCGTATTTTTTTTCCGGCGAAAGCTGTCTGGAACTATACGGTTTGTGAATTTCCGGAGTTTTACATTTAATAGAAATACAGTTTTAAATTTTCAAATTCCGGAATTCAATTTTCTTTATACCTAAGGTATAAAGAATGATAAAATCGGTGCAGCTAGTTTTGTCAGCCAGAAAGTTAAGTAGTACGTTTTGTTGTGTACATATTATAGTAATAAAAATANTTTGTGAATTTCCGGAGTTTTACATTTAATAGAAATACAGTTTTAAATTTTCAAATTCCGGAATTCAATTTTCTTTGACTATAAGATTCGCATATTTTTTTATGTTTTTGGTTATTAATGTTTTAAAAAATACATTAAAGTATTTAGAAAAATTGTACCTATTGGGGTATCACATCGAAAAAATGTATTTCTCCTGGGGTATACAGAATGATAAAATCGGTGCAGCTAATTTTGTCAGCTAAAAAAAAGTTAAGTAGTACTTTATGTTTGTATACATATTATAAAAATAAAAATATGCAGAAAATAAACGACCACGACCGAAAATCAACCGCTATCGTACACGGATTGCTTTTCGAAGGTCAACCACCGGCCGACAACCGTGACGACGACGTATAGACTTTTGGAAGTCTGAACGGGCAACGCCTTAGCGACAGTGGGAAGAAGGGGCTCGAAAACACCCATCACTCTACATATCCCGCTATATATAAGGACCGTGACACCAGGCAACGGCATCACACTCAAATCCACGAGTAGACCGCAGGTTGAAGTTTGCAGATACACTATAATCCCAACAAGTCAAACCACACGATTCGAAATGGCTTCATTCAAGTGTCTGGTAAGTGACNTCGCCACCAGTTTTCTTAATCCGGAACGTGTTTATTAGTCCAAACCTTCACCAAAGGCTCTTTCATTTTCCCTTATACTGACATTGTCCCATTGTATAAGTGATTTTTCGAGAGTTCATTTCTCAAATAGATTTTCCTAATGCACTACCCGTATGAGTGGCTGGAATGACAATTTATATTAAATTGTATTTAATAACGATCGTGGATATTTTTGTCTTGACAGATATTCATCGCCTTGTGCGTCTACACCGCCGCCGCCCAACATGTGGAACCCACCGAAGACGGAGCAAGAGTAAAGAAACAGACTTTCATCGCTCCGGCTCGTAAGTATAGGATATTATTATTTTCCGTGTTTCGGCAAGTCCTACTTCTGAACTCGTGTTATTCAATATATTTGTATCACATAAATGCATCGAATAAGATTATTTTTGTATCTTTTTTAAGCGATTGTGGCTTACTCCTCCGCCCCGGGCGCTTACTCGTACGGATACTCCACTTACGGCGCCTTCCCGTACTCTTACCCGACAGCCGCTTACCCGGCAGCTGCATATCCGGCACCGGTACCGTACGTAGCAAAAGCCGCTTACGCCGCATACCCCGCTTACCCGGAAAAAGCCGTTTACGCAGCTAAAGCCGCATACCCGGCTTACGCTAACGACGACGGTAGCTACTGGCCCGGCAAGTACGAAAAGACCTACGTTCCAGCTGCCTACCCGACCGTCTACCATTACTGAACAGCATCATTCCGCCAACGGTTCTCAATCTCAACATCTCACTAATGAATAATTATTAAAACTGCCCGTATATTTTTCAAATGTAATTTATTTATTTTTCAACAATAAACACTTGTGATCATTTTTCTTTTTATCATTCGGTTTTTCTTTCTTCATTCATCTCCTCTCTGTTCAAGTCCTATGCAACGGATACTAAAACTGAAATTATTGCAGTTTTACTAAGGTGTACAAAATTAAATTATTATTCAATAAATCATTAGATAAGGAACAATATGACTGCAATTCAATTCCACCGAATACACTTCAATAAACCTTTGTGTAAAGTACATAAAAAAAAAAAAAACTGTACTAGGATAATGGGCACGGGTGCAGCCACCGTTATAGATCATTTAATGTATATCCGTAGACAACGATAAATCATTGGGAATAAAAAAAACGATTCTGTACAAGATTCAGTCGATATTGATAACATCGTGTGAGTAATATTATTGTAAATCAATTAAATATACATAATGTATTTTCTTAAATAATACTTGTTTAATATTGTACTGATTTTCCCTAGGCCATGAAATATTTATTTCCTGCATCTTTTTTTTAAATAGTTGCTTGGTGTTATTTTGTGAGTGCTCATTATTATTATTATTGTTCTTATCTTATTATGATTATTATTGCTTCTTGTTGGTAGAATTGTTATCCACAGCAAAAATAGACCGTAATAATTTTAATACATTTCGTATATTTTCCATATTTTTCTTTCCGGTTTTTCAATTTATTGAGAAAACTTCTAGGAAAGTAAAAAAAAGGTTTGCTTTCACAAATATCGTACTAGGAATACTAATTTAACTAATAATATTTATATTATACAGTTATTAATAAATACTCTTCTCCACACTCTTAAAATGATCAGTAACCCCTCGATGAAAAAATATAAATGACAATTTTATTATTAAGCAATTTGATGATAATATGAAAAGATAAGATAAAATCTACATGGATCGACAAAGAGAATTATCAGTTTCGGTATTTTAGCTCACTACCATAATTCATTATGTTTTTGCATAATTACTTGTACTAATATGATGAGTTGTAGCAGATTTTTTTTTTAACGTATTTGTTGATTTTTCAAATCAAGTTTCCACCTTATATTTTAGCTTAGGGAACCCGCATGACATATGCCCGGTCAGACATGCCCAATTTCCTAACTTTCCCGGAGTTTAGATTCACCACTTTTTTATGTAGAATATATTTAAATACATCATAATTTTTTATTTTATTTTTCGATAATTTTGTTTCCGGATATTTTTACCTAGAACATTTTGTTAGAACATCAAAATAGTATAATATTTACAAGTCATTTAATATTATCGTTTACCGAAGTAATTTTTTTGTAGTACATAATAACCTATTAACTATTATCATACCGGTACACAAATAAAAGTTATTTTGTTTTAATCTTAGGTGTATTAATCCCAAATACATTTTTTTTTGTTATTGAAAAAATCACGATTAATTATAAACACAATTTTCAAATCATTTTACATCTACAATTTTAATATTTTAATGTTATATGTAATTATTTAATTTGCAAAATTAATTTAATAGTGTTCTGCTATTCTTTTCCCACGCATACCTAAAAGGAATAACTTGTCAACGAGTTGACGAAAATCAAACATCTCAATTTTGAGGCTAATTTCTATCGTAAATGTTTGCCTTATATATAAATTTAAAAAATCGCCTCTCCCGTTCTTTTTTCCTGGATCCATTGTTATTTGTATATAACGGTTAACTGTTATGAATTGTAGTTAAAAACAATTAATGTTTTGTGGGATATCGGTTTATATTTACAGGTATACTCTTATATATATTATAATTTATACTCATGTAGGTGATATTATACAAAGATATTTAGTTTAATATGGGTAATACGGATGAAAATATGTAAATATTTTTATAACAATAAAAAATATTTTTGGTTATTACAGTATTATATTATATAAATTGTATAAAATGATCATTTTTCCTAACTATACTTACTCGAATTTATATTAATATTGTAGATATATACATGTATAATTTTTTGAAAATTAATTTTTAAGATCCGGAGCGTATTTTCGTTCATTTTCTATCGGTGAACAATTTTTCTGCCAGAAATTTTGCTCCGATGTATAGAATATAGTCGATTTTCTAAAAGGAAATTTTACCTGTTTGGTGCATTAGACAGGTCAGTTTTGATTTTTCAAAAGTTATTGAAATACTTGGGAAAACCCGGACAGAAAATTATAGGTCAAACTGTAAATATTTACGGCGCTTCACAACATTACCACAATTTGATTTTATTGTTTTTAATTTTTATTCACAATGATTTCTACCAGAAGTTTTGCTCCAAAAAAAAATTGACAAGAGGATCTAATTTATTCCATTTGAGTGATATCTCGTCACTGACTGGGCAATTAATTTTTCGATTTTAAGGGTAATTTTCCTATAAGTTGGGAAAAACTAAAAATTATAAAATATACGATTTTTTCAAATTACGGCGCAAATATTTCTTTATTTAACTTATGTTTTCTAAAAAAATGTTGCTCCAATGAAAAAAATAACAAGAGATCTTTTTTATTGCATTTATAATCTAGCTGGTGACCGAAAAATCATTTTGAATTTTTCTTTTTTTAATAATTGAGGTAATTCTTTTATTGCTTAAACTAACAATGTTTTTTTTTTCAATGTAATTAAATAAAAAATAATCATAAAGAATAATAAAAAAATGTTAAACAAAAAACTTTTGAGTAATTTTTAAGCATTTTAATTTTGCAAGTATAGTACATGATTATAATTTGATGATACTCTGTGTATACAATTGTAAGACAAAATAGAAATGCTTAGAAATTCAACAGGAGGTTAATTATAAAGTAATAAGTAGTAAATAGAAAAAAAATTTATATTAATGTAGAATTTCTTTTTTTGTAAAAATTTGTCTTTCAAATATTGACAATTAATTTAAATTACAAACTTTCAAATCACATGTAACCGAACGTCACTATACATCGATTTTTGTTAACAATGTTTTATCGTTGGTTAAAGCTGTTACAGATAAAAATTAAAGAACTATGTGTCCCACCTTTCCNATTTTATTTTTCAATAATTCTGTTCCAGTAAATTTTTAAAAAGGACATTTAAAATATCAAACACATAACACGCGTGAATCGAACTTCATTATGCATCGATTTTTGTTAACAATGTTTTATCGTTGGTTAAAGTTGTTACAGATAAAAATTAAAGAACTATGTGTCCCACCTTTCCAAATAACCCACATACAATAGAGGTCGCAGAAATACTCATTCCTCAGTATCAGTTCTTTTTTTTTCTATCTACATAGGTATTTGAAGTTTTTTGTAATTTTTTTTATATTATATTGTAATATTTGGCTATAAATTATCATGATGTATTATGGACACATGTAGAAACCCAGAAAATAATCGTATGAAACGTAAGGTTTTAGATTTAAATAATCCGACGGTATTATGGTTGGTATAAATCACAAAATCAACACTGATAACACCGGATTTTTACGGTCGGTAAAAATACGGTATGAAAGTTGTTGAATTCGGAAACAATCAGATCAGGGACTAGACAGTCAGAAAAAAATGCATATTATTTTTCCGGCGAAAGCTGTCTGGAACTATACGGTTTGTGAATTTCCGGAGTTTTACATTTAATAGAAATACAGTTTTAAATTTTCAAATTCCGGAATTCAATTTTCTTTGACTATAAGATTCGCATATTTTTTTATGTTTATGGTTATTAATGTTTTAAAAAATACATTAAAGTATTTAGAAAAATTGTACCTATTGGGGTATCACATCGAAAAAATGTATTTCTCCTGGGGTATACAGAATGATAAAATCGGTGCAGCTAATTTTGTCAGCTAAAAAAAAGTTAAGTAGTACTTTATGTTTGTATACATATTATAAAAATAAAAATATGCAGAAAATAAACGACCACGACCGAAAATCAACCGCTATCGTACACGGATTGCTTTTCGAAGGTCAACCACCGGCCGACAACCGTGACGACGACGTATAGACTTTTGGAAGTCTGAACGGGCAACGCCTTAGCGACAGTGGGAAGAAGGGGCTCGAAAACACCCATCACTTTACATATCTCGGTATATATAAGGACCGTGACACCAGGCAACGGCATCACACTCAAATCCACGAGTAGACCGCAGGTTGAAGTTTGCAGATATACTATAACCCCAACAAGTCAAACCACACGATTCGAAATGGCTTCATTCAAGTGTCTGGTAAGTGACTTTAACGTCGTAATATTATTTCGATTATTTTTCTCATCATTATTACCTATAGTTTTTGTATACGTATTAAACTTTCCGTAGAATAATCGTTCTCTATTTTATTCTCATACATTTATCTATTATTGATCATTATTTATAATATATTATCTATTATAAGGTAATATTGCAGCTGTGAGATCTTCCTAGCACACAACCTCGCCACCAGTTTTCTTAATCCGGAACGTGTTTATTAGTCCAAACCTTCACCAAAGGCTCTTTCATTTTCCCTTATACTGACATTGTCTCATTGTATAAGTGATTTTTCGAGAGTTCATTTCTCAAATAGATTTTCCTAATGCACTACCCGTATGAGTGGCTGGAATGACAATTTATATTAAATTGTATTTAATAACGATCGTGGATATTTTTGTCTTGACAGATATTCATCGCCTTGTGCGTCTACACCGCCGCCGCCCAACATGTNCCGGCTCGTAAGTATAGGATATTATTATTTTCCGTGTTTCGGCAAGTCCTACTTCTGAACTCGTGTTATTCAATATATTTGTATCACATAAATGCATCGAATAAGATTATTTTTGTATCTTTTTTAAGCGATTGTGGCTTACTCCTCCGCCCCGGGCGCTTACTCGTACGGATACTCCACTTACGGCGCCTTCCCGTACTCTTACCCGACAGCCGCTTACCCGGCAGC